TGCTCTGAAACCCGGGAGGGAGACAGAGCAAGACTCGAGTCTCAAAAAAAAATTAGCTTGGAGAATGTTTTTCTCTTTACACAACATTTTTGCAAACATTTCATTTGATACAGCCACCGAAGTAGATACAAAAGAACACTTTAGAGATGAGGTAATTTCGGTGAAAATGTGTAAAGATTACACCGTGCAAGGTCACACAGTAAGTAGCTAAACCAGGGCTATTTGACTAATCCAGATTTCTCTGATTCCAGGAGAAAACATTAGACTGCCATTTGTTCAGGAAGCTCCATTCCACTATTACAAATAAATCTGCACAATCGGATGGTCAAGGGAAACATTGGCCTAATTGGGGGTCTCAGTTGTGTCTTCATTCCATGATCTCACCTCACTTCCATAACCTAGTCTATAACCAGATTAGCCAGGCTTACAGTTTGTTGTTGGAAAATTTGGAGAAATGAAATTGGGGGAAGATAATTCTCTGAAATTTTTGGAGAGAGTGTAAAAGTACAAGCTACCATCAATTTTTCAATCAGGATGTGCCCTAAGGAAGTACTGGGTCAAACATTTAGAAACAGAACCTCAGGCTGGGCAGTGTCTCAGGTCTATGATCACAGCACTTTGGGAGGTCAAGACTTAAGACGGGAGGATGGCTTTAAGGCCAGTAATTGGGAGACTAGCCTGGGTAACATGGCAAGATCCCGTTTCTACAAGAAAAAAAAATTAGTTGAGCATGATGGCACGTTCCTGTCGTTCTAGCTACTCAAGAGAGACTGAGGCAGGAGGATAACTTGAGCCCGAGAGTTTGAGGCTACAGTGACCTATGATTGTGCCACTGCACCCTAGCCCAGATGACAAGATGAGGCCCTGTCCTTAGAAACACAAACAACAACAACGAAAAACAAAGACAACGAAAAAGAAATAAGCGTTCTGGAGGATGAAAATAAAAGTGTTGGCTGGTCATGGTTGCTCACAACTGTAATCCCAACACTTTGGGAGACCAAGAGGTGAGGATCTCTTGAGGCTAGGAGTTTGAGACCAGCTGGGCAACAGAGCAAGACCCCTGCCTCTACAAAAAAACATTTTTTTTGAGACAGAGTCTTGCTCTGTTGCCCAGGCTGGAGTGCAGTGGTGCGATCTCGGCTCACTGCTGCAAGCTCCACCTACCGGGTTCACTCCATTTTCCTGCCTCAGCCTCCCGAGTAGCCGGGACTACAGACACCCGCCACCATGCCAGGCTAATTTTTTGTATTTTTAGTAGAGACGAGGTTTCACCATGTTAGCCAGGATGGTGTCGATCTCCTGACCTCGTGATCCACCCGCCTTGGCCTCCCAAAGTGCTGGGATTATAGGCGTGAGCCACCGCGCCTAGTCAAAAAATTTTTTTAAATTAGCCAGGCCTGGTGACCTGCACCTGTGGTCCCAGCTACTCCAGAGGCTGAGATGGGAGGATCACTTGAGACCAGGAGGTCAAGGCTTGCAGTGAGCGATGATGGTGCCACTGTACTCTAGCCTGGGTGACAGATGAGACCCTGTCTGGAAAAAAAAAAAATAGAAGTATCAAGCAGTGCTAAATAGTAATGTCATAAAGAGATCAAAATATAAAGGAAGGATAGTGTTAAAACTTTAGGCAAATTAAATATGAGTTTAATTTTGCAAAAAAAATTTGTCAATCAGGTGGCCACCCTGAACCAGAATATGTTCAGAGAGATTCCAACACTGTTGCATGGTAGAAGATGATTTATGGACAGAAAAAGGACAGTGATGTACAGAAAACAGAAGTGAGATACAGAAACAGCTTGATTGGTTGAGTGTATTATTTGAACAGTTGGCCTCCTGTGATTGGCCAAAACTCAGTGATTGCTATAATAGGTTATAGTCCATTTATACATCCAGTTAGGTTACAATTTACTATGTACAGAGAAACCTTTATGCTGAACTTATAAGGAGGCAACTTTAGGCTAAACTCAATTTAACAATTTCTCCCCTTTTGGTCAACCTCTCAACTTGACCAAAATAGAGAGGTTGACCAAAATTGTAGACATTGACATTACTTTCTGACCATTGTAAATGCACTTTTTTGGTCTAAAATCCCACTGGGAAATAGTACAACAGTGGGTTTTGTAAGGTGGGAATAAGGACTTTAGGTCATTTTCTGGTAAGCGTTAGAGTAGAGGAGACTTTTTTTATTATGTTGGAATTTTTATTTATTTAAATTTTATGGACATTTTATGGATGATTGTATATAAACATTTAAAACTTTTGAAAGTCCTTAGTGTATTAAGATTATCAAGAGGATAATACCAAGACTTTGGAGTGTGCCCCTTAGCCAGGGTCACCATGAACTAAACTAACTAAAATCAAATAGATCAAAGAAAGAACTAGATAAAAGGTCAAGCTGTTTTAACCAAGCAGCTTGTTTATTAATCCTCTGTAACTGAATCTCTATACCTGATATGTTCATCTCTGCGCAACAGGAAGTGTCAGCAACTGCAGATATTTCTCTGTCCAGTCAGTAAGTTAATAGACAGCAATTCCATTATCTAGCACAACTTTAATAAGAGAACTTAGTCTGTTGTGCCATGGCCTTTGTAGTAGAGTTAGCTACAGAGTCTATTATGAGGGATACATTTCTTTTTTTCTTTTTCTTTTCTTTTCTTTTTTTTTTTTCTTGTTGAGACCGAGTCTCACTCTGTCCCCCAGGCTGGAGTTCAGTGGCGCGATCTCGGCTCACTGCAAGCTCCGCCTACCGGATTCATGCCATTCTCCTGCCTCAGCCTCCCGAGCAGCTGAGACTACAGGTGACCGCCAGCACGTCCGGGTTATTTTTTTCTGTTTTTAGTAGAGACGGGGTTTCACCGTGTTAGTCAGGATGGTGTCGATCTTCCGACATCATGATACACCTGCCTCAGCCTCCCAAAGTGCTGGGATTACAGGCTTGAGCCACCGCGCCCGGCCTTGGGTGACCAGAGCAAGGGTCTGTTTAAAAAAGAAAAAAAATAAAAAACCAAAAAAAACTTCATATAGCTTCCACTGTTAAACTCCATTATGACTAAATACTACAAGACTTTAGTACACTATACCAAAATATATTTTCACCAAAAAAAACACCTTTTTCATAGTTCCATAAAACTATCACACCCTTCCTGATCCGAAACCCCAAAATTGTGTCTTCTAAAGATGATATTTTAAAAAAAGACTGCTCTTTCACTCACATTGCAACAAAACTTCAGGACCTCAACACTTTAAAGTCATAATCTTACAACTCCAGAATGGCCTTCCAGACTCTTTTGTTGTTTTTTTTTTCCCCGAGACCAGAGTTTCACTCTTGTTGCTCAGGCTGGAGTGCAGTGGTGCAATCTCAGCCTCACCTGCAACCTCCACCCTCCCAGGTTCAAGCAATTATCTTGTCTCAGCCTCCCAAGGTAGCTGGGATTAGAGGGCATGTGCCACCATGCCTGGCTAATTTTGTATTTTTAGTAGAGACAGGGTTTCTTCATGTTGGTCAGCTGCTCTGAACTCCCAACCTCAGGTGATCCACCCACTTCGGCCTCCCAACGTGCTGGGATTACAGCATGAGCCCGCTGCACCTGGTGCCTTCTAAGCACCGACTCTTAAAACTATATCCCATTAGAGACTTTTAATAAAAACTAACAAAAACAAAAAACTAACCAAAACCCAACAAACAAAAAAACCCTTTCTCTGAAAACAGGACAACACTAAGACATGGACAACTTTCTCAAGATCAAAATCAAGACTTCTCTACCATCATGAGATTCTACCTCTTAATTT